CGCCTCCACCCGTCTTGTTTTTAAAGGAGTACAATGTTTTATTTCAGTGCAGAGCCCTTGTACAGTCTTAACCCCCCCGGGTCCCCCTCTTCGTTCCGTTGTACAATACTGGCTGTGGCAGGTAGCTGGTGTAACAGGAGGGTTTTGTAACTTACCTGAGCAGTTGTAGATTATTGAAGTTTCTGTACATTGTGTCAAACATACAGAGTCCTTGTATTGTATTGTGCCTAGAGGAAAAAGGTTATTATATAAAGAGAAAACTAACTGAATTTAATAAAAAAATTAATATGACATGTGCCCTTCTGCCTCACTGTCACCGATGTCAGCTGCCCCCCACCGCGGTGTACTGGGCCAGCGCTGCGGGAACTGCAGGACCTGGGCTCAGCGCCAGTCCCGAGGGGACGGGGCTGTCCCCTGCTTCGTAGGGATGGAGCCTCATGGAGAGCCACTGGCACAGCACCGGGCCTGTGCCTGCGCGGAGGTTGCACTGGTCCCTGCGCTGCCCATGGCAAAGAAGGACCTTTGTCCTGCGCTGTCCTGCCCGCTCCTGCTTCTTCTGGCGAGTTACACTCTTCTCCACAGGACACTGGTTTGATGAGCCCAGTGTCACCAAGGCTGAGCTGTGCTGGTGTTCCCGGCTGTGTCGGTCCCTGTGAGGGCTCTGGGTTTGCAGCAGAGCCCCTTCTCGGATTCCCCGGGAGAAGGGGGGCGCACCTCGGGCTGCACCGTAGCGGGCGGCCCCTTGACCCACCACACCACGCGTGTCCCTGCGGAGCACATGCCTGTTCCCAGAGCCCAGCAGCAGCACACCACCACGGGACGGTGGAGCTGCTGGGCTGACGCGCACTGAAACCTGCCTTGTGCTGCAGCAGGGGATGGGAAACGGTGAAAGAAACCCAAATCCGATGGTGCCAGTTTGCAACTCTCCCCATCACTGTCAGTGCTGGGGAGCACTGGGCACACTGAAGGACCAGGACAGGAGGCAGCTGGTACCAAACCTGCATCTGGTTGTCCTTGAACAGCCAATGTAAACACTTCATCAAATACAGGAACAGTGACTCCGTGCAGCTCTCACGAACCCACTCCTGGCTGCAGCCACCAGGACAGGGACCCCTTGAAAGACCACAGGGCGGGAGAGGCGGCTCCATGCTTCAGCGGTACCACGGACCGAGCTGAGGCGGTGCCACCAGCGTGGTGCCTTCAGGCCTCGTCCACAGCCAGAGGAGCACGGGAGGTCAGCCCTGCTCCACCTGCCCGCTGTCCCAGCCAGCACCACCAGCAGCTTTCTTCAGGGTGAAACCTTAAGGATTTTGGCACAAGAAGCCACAGGACTAAGTGTTTCTTACAGCCAACATGATTCAACAAAAGGGGACCAGCCATGCCACGAGGCAAACATCTGGCAAAGCTGCCAATGGCCAAGGGCCCCCGGTTTCTGCCGGTGGGCAAAGACTAACCCGGGGCAAGTGAAATCACCGTCCGGGGCAGCTGCGAGAGCATCGGTCCCTTCAGCGCCTCTCCCCGTAGCCAGACAGCCCCTACAGCCCGCGGGCGCCAGAGTTCATCCGGAATCACCAACGCTGCCACAGCACCGCTCCCCGCAGGATCACGGCTCTCCTGCTCGAGGTGAGTGGTGCCGTTGTAAGAGCAAAGCCGCCCTCGTCTCGCAGCGGTGGTGCTGCTGCACCGACCTTCCCATGAGCCAGCAAAAGCCACTGTTACCCTCTCTCCCCTCCGACAGCAACAGATGACTCGAGAAGCAGTGACTACGGCCTCTGCTTTCGCTGGGGGCTGCAGGGAAGGACCCCATCTCCTCGTCCACCCTCCTGCCGCGGGTCCATCATCCCTCCTGGGTGCGGGGCAGAAGAAACCTGCAGGTTCCACCCCGAACGGTGCCTGTGCTCACCCCCTGCCTGCGCGGGGCGGTCGGGCGAAGCGGGAGAGCGAAGCTGCGGGATGCGGCACGGCGGGGGCTGAGCGTGTCCGGCAGGATGGAGGAATCCACCACTGGCACGTGAATTTTGAGCTTTTATTGATAGTTGGAATTTACAGCCTAAAACCGACAACATAGAGAGATGCAGACTTTTTTTTTTTTTCCTCTTTTTGCTTTTTTTTTCTTTTTTTTAAACCTTTTTTACAAAAACAAAAACCAAAATAACCAAAAGCCACCAGCATCAGATTTACAATATAAAAGTTTTGACAGTAGAGAGACTAAAGTACATCTGGAATTACTCAGAAAAATAAACAGGGAAAAAAGGCAGTAATTTAAAATTTGTCCCTCATATATACACATAGATACACAGACATTGCTTACAAAGACCCGGTTTCAACATTTAAGGGCAGTAGGCATCATGAGAAAAAAGGCTCCCCTATGTCATTGCACTAAATTAATTAACCCAGGTGGGCACCCCCCCTTTGCCACCCCTTCCCGGTTTAGAGGAAAGGCCACGTGAAGCTCAAACGGGATTTCCGCAGCCCCCGGGGTCCCGGGCTCAGCGAGGACCGTCCCCACACCAGCCACGCTCTCACCCACCAGCCCTCAGCCGCACGGCCGCGGCCACAGC